CACACACACAAACTTTATCTTGTTTATTATTTTTTTTAAATCTTGTATTAGAGGATTATATAGCATGGCTTACTGTCCTCATTCAGCATTCAGACCTTTGCTTGATGCTGATGGAAAAATGTAATTGTTCAATTTTCTGTAAATATAATTCTCTAAAAAACATCTTCTCAGTGTGCCAAATCAAATAAATGTCAATTAAAAATGCATTCATGCACAACCTGATCAATTAATATTAAATAATAACAACACACTTTTATTAATTTTGTAGCATGATTTGAGCAGTACTTGGTTGGGCCAAAAGTAGTAGTAAAGCTCTTTATGCAGAATGACCAGAGTTCAAGTTCCATACAGGAATAAATGAATTTATCCTTTTTTAATAAATCAAGTAAAGTTGTAATCCCAGTGGACATATTAACAGGAGTGGGATCTTATTTGGTTCCATTTTAAGTTAGACTTGATTAAATTGACCTCAAAGCAGTGATTAACTGAATATTTTAACTTGAATCTAATCATGCAGTAACTACTTCCTATTGGCTAAACACTCCTAAATAAGACTAAATATGACAAACCATCTAAAACTAATCAGTTGTAGCTTTTAGAAACCACATTGTTGCTGTTTTACTCAGATTTATTTACCGTTTACAAACTATATTAAGAATTTACATTTCTGCATTCCGAAATGTTATTTTTTTTAGCCTTTGTTCAGAATATACTGTATATATTTGGCTTTAAACTAGTAATTTATTATATATAAGGTGTAGAGAAGGAAAAATTTACAGTAAGTACATTATTCTTCTTGTTGCAGAGCTTTTTACCAAATAAGTAAATATGTACACGACATACTTAAATTTAAAAATTCGTATCTGTATATTATCTTAGGATTCTGTAAGAAAAAATAGTCTACTAAAACAAACAAAACCACAGTGATAAATGAGCACTGCAACAATATTATAATAATATCAGTTATGAGCCAAGACTGTGAATGCAGTAAATATCCATTCAGAAGCAGAGAGCTGTGTACATGATAATGTTTTAAAATACATAATTTATAAATTTAAATTATTTAATTATTTACAAGACCTGAAAAAAATATATGTACTTTGAAATTCTATATAGCATAAAATCTGGTTATCCTGCCTCATTTGCTTGCCCAATTCTCGTTTAAACACGTACAC